GTCTAGACAATGGGACGGGAATTTTGATCCGAGGATATGAAATCCCAATGGAATTAATCTTTCAGTAGAAAAACCGGTGGTACCTGTGAGACGGGTTGTTGGCTAGCAGGAAATAGAATTGGGTGGAAGTGAAGGCCCTGGAAACCAACAACAGTGTTATTTCAGCAGCAGCATTGACAGCAGAAGCCAGGCTGCTCTGGCAAATGCTCTAGGAACTGGGTGATGCCAAGTGTTGGTAGGGGTAGGAGATACAGGACCCTTGTACATGCTGATGGGGCTGAGAACCGTTTCAGCAATTCTGTGACATTTAGTGAAATTAAGCAGAAGAAAAATTTATAGCAAGTGATTCTACTCTTGGCTATAAATCTAAAGCATGGTTTTCTAGCTGGAGATAATGCTGATTGAATGGGAAGTTGGAAGCCATCCAAGAGTCGGTCATTGGGAGGATGGATAAGTACAGTAAACACACATCATAGAATATAGTACAAAGTTAGAAGCAATAAATTAAATATACTCCTAGCAGCTTAGGGGGGAATCTTTAAAATGTGATACTAAGTAAAAACAACAAACAAGCAAAAGGGAAAATAAGTTGCAATGGCATTCATGCAAATAAAAAATACAGACACTGCACGTTTAGCATAGCAAATGGTCCACCGGGGTCAGCATCCATCGCCTTCCTTTTCTAAATTATTTTCCCCACAGCACTTACCACCTTCCAATCTATTGATAATTTTCTTTTGTAAGGCGTTAAGGGGAATAGACAGGGAATAGATCACTATGTAGCTCTGGCTGATCTGAAGCTATATACAGACCAAGCTGACTTCAAACCCGCAGTGATCCGCTTGCCTCTACCTCCTGAGTGCTAAGACTGTAGGTATGTGCCCCCATGCCCAGCATTCATGCTGATAATTTTCTTTCTTTTCTTCTATATTTTTCTCCATGTACTAGGCATTTAACCCAGAGCCTTGAGCATGCTGTGCAAACACTGATCCTTCCCCTCATTGTCTTCTGCTCCTTAGCAGAGTCTAAGGTATCCCAAACCGACCGCAACTGGTACACTGTTGAGAATGGTTTTGGATTTGAACTTGGCCTCCACTTCCTGAGTGTTGGGATTACAGGTGTGTGCCAACATAGTCATTTATAAGGTGCTGTGGATAGAACCCAGGGCTTTGCAGATGTTAGACTGGATCTACCAACCGAGTCACACCCTCAGCCCCTGTAGTTCTGTTTTGTAGTGAGATATTATTTATGTTTTATTAAAGCTTGCCTGAGGATTCAGAAAGCAAAGTTAGCCACAAGCCATAGAAGCCAGGCACACACCTTTAATCCCACCTTTAATCTCCAGTCAGAAACTAGGAGATGGTGGCGGTACTTACCTTTAATCCTAGGACTCAGGATTAAGAGGTAGCTAGGTCTCTCTGAGTTCAAGGCCACCCAGGGATAGACGAGACTGAATCAGTCTAAAAGAGAATTATAGTTCACACCTTTAATCCCAGCACCAGAGAGATATATAAGACAGGAGCAAGGTCTTGGTATCAGGCATTCATTCTCCAGCCATGTCGACAATAGGAACACCCTAGCCCTTTTAGAGGTAAGAGCTCTCTGATCGCTTGGCTGCATTGCTTCCCTGACCTTCAGGTTGAACCCTAATATCCATCTCTGGGTCCTTTTATTTATCATGCAACACTGTTTTCTTGCTTTTATACTTATAGATAAATGTTTAGCATCCTGTTAGACTATATAGGCTATGAGATTAGGGATCCTCGTCAGGTTTCTTCACCAATGTGACCCGAAAAGCTCTGGCACAAGGCAGGTAACTCAACCTACATTTGTTGAATGAATTGATGGCCAAGACACAATATACATTGTGCAAGACCACTTACAAGTCAAAAGACCCACTTTAAAGAGCTTAAGTGGGGTTGTCTTGAGAGTGAAAAGCACACAGGGAAGGAAAGAAAGCCAGTCCTAAGAAAGCCGGGGAGGCTGTTGCAGGGAGGGTGGACGTGAAAGAGGTATTGATCGGGAGGGTGCGGGGACAAGTCAGGAGCCAGTCCTGGGCTTGGGTAGGGAGGTGGCTTCTCTCTCACCTCCCAGCATCAGTCCTGGGCCTGCAACCAGCCATGTCTAGAGGCATCAGATCTTGACAACAGAAGCCCAAGGCCAGTGAGTCCCTGTCCTAGGCCCTTCTGACCCATTTTAGGAAAGACACTGGTCCAAGGGATCTGCCCCCACAGAACGCTCAAGCCCATAGAAGCTGGACCAATTCGTGGATTCGTAATATCAACTAGATAACACACATTAGCATCTAAAGCACAGCAAAGACTGTACTCCTGCCAGGAAGTTCCTTTAAAGTCAGCAGTTTCCCTACCTGAGAATTACCTGCCAAGGAGCTTTGGAATAGCAATCTGCCTTAGGGTTTCTACTGCTGTGAAGAGACACCATGACCACAGCGACTCTTACAGTTCAGAGAGTCAGTCATCATGGTGGGGAGGACAGCCATGTGCAGACATGGTGCCGTCTACATCTTGGTCAGAAGGAAACAGGAAGTGGGGGGAGGGGGAAGCTTGAGCAAAAGAGACCTCAAAGCCCATGCCCACAGTGATGCCCTTCCTCTAACAAAGGCACGACTACTTCAACAAAGACACACCTCTTAATAGTGCCCCTCCCTTTGGGGGCCATTTTCTTTCAGGTCGCCAAAGAATCCTCAAGCCAGATTCCCTAAAGACACCTGAGGGTCTGTGAAACTGCTGTGCTTTTTGGTTTTTTGTTTTTTAATTCTCCAGGTAGTTGCGACCTATCTTGGACCAAAGCCGCTTCCATCCCCAAAGTGGACAGGCAGATGATGAGTTGGATCATCCAACTTGCCGTCCGTGGCGGATGCAGTAATTCCCTGAGACGGGTTTGCTGGAGTTTCAGAAGCAAATGCAACAAGAACACCGGGCGCAGGCCTGCAGACAAAGCGCCCAAACACCCCCTCAGCCCTGTTTTAGCATCAACATTCCAGGCCCACCCACCTGGGCCCTTGGTCACCAGGAGACCTCACGTGTACACACAGGCCATAACCTGCCCGAAACCCAGATCCGGCTGCTCTTCCCAAGCGACTCTCAGCTTGCTGAAAACAAAGGCGATTGTTCTCTTAGGAATGCTCTACAGGGAAATGGATCGTTTCCCCTCTCCCAATCCCTTCCTGCCTGGATTCCCGCCTTTAATCCCTAGGAGGGAAGGTGTTCTTAAATAGAGCCGCCCTTGGCACCTCCCCGTCCAACTGGGAAGCCACCACTGGTAAGCGCTGGTGCCCTTACTGGTTCCCAATCCCCCCACCCCGAGTGGGCCCCCTCCAGCAGTCACAGGCACTTTTCCACACTGAAGGCTGAGGTGCGTGCGGGCAGAAGAAGGGATTTTTTTTTTAAACACACACTTGGAGATGCCAAGCTTCCTGTGGGAATCATCCTATTATTGAAAGGAGGGCTGTCTGTCCCTGCCCCCACCTGATGCAGCAGTAAATTGTAACAAGAGAATCTGGCCGAACAAGTTTCTGGTTCCCTCGCTATCTTGTGGACAAAGAGCTCTTTGAATATGGTTTCTGTGTTTGGCTTCTAGTGATAGAGTGGAAAGTGATGTTTTCACTATTGCTGGAATTTTCTCCCTTCGGCAATATCCAATAACGGCCATTCACTGGGAAGGCAGCCTTGGATCCCATGGGGCCAAGGAGGCCACGTGGCAAGCGAGCTGTGGCCAGACCATTTCCTGCTAATTAACCTGTGGATATCGATAATATTTCTCTCTGGGAAGCTGCTGTAGATAAGGCGTCTGTCCCTTGCTGGTCACCAAATCATCAATAAGCAGATGGCCCCCTTTTTAGCAGGGTCCATAATCCAAACATGCTTGGGATGAGTGATTGATAGAAAGCGCCCGTTTTAAAAGGAGTCCAAATCTAAACAGAATGTGTCTGGTTACTAACAAAATTAAATTACCCTCTGCTGAAGGGACTTCCCTTCCAGTGAAAACAAACTTAGAGTTGTAGATAAAATAGAAACTTGGGCATAAATTCTTGGCGGCTCCTAACAACAAGCAAATGGCGTCGAATTTATGAGCTCAATTTTATTTTGTATTTGTCCCCACTTTGATATGTTTTGTCAATGATAAAGTACAAAAAAATTTAAGCTGTATTTGAAAGGTCAAAATTCTAATAAAGTGGTCCAAAGCACCCGGAGAAGGCCCAGATTTTACTTAACTTTCTTCTCTGGGCTGTTTTGTTCCAGAAATCATTCTTTTTTCCTCCTTCCTAGAAACACGATAAGCAGGCTGCTGAGGACTGAAGGGCCAGGTACGGATTCTTCCTGGCTGGAATGGTGTCTCTCTGACCTGCATAGTCTTGGGATCTGAGGGGAGATGAGTCTTCATGGGAGCTAATGTGTTCACAAGTAAAAGAGAGGGATCCAAGTGAGAAGTCAAATGACCTCTGGATATGAAACACGCTTGAAGACTGTCGAGGAAGGTTGCAGAGAACTCTCCAGAGACTGGGTGAAGCCTTAACTCAATCCAGGGCTAACCCATAAGAGACATACCCCAAGTGCTGCTAAGCCCTAAGCCCGGAGCTTCCAGGTGCTGCTGATCAAAGAGTCTAGAAGTTCCACTCTGCAGAGTTGGTTTATTAAGTGTTCCTCTGAAATGAGGTCTCCCCATGAAACCCAGGCTTTAACAATGGCCCTCCTTTCTTGTCTTTGAAGTCAGCTTCACAATCTCTTCCCTGACAGAGAAACCTTATCTGCCACATACACCCTCAGCATCCCTCTTAGTTACATGGTGGATGCCGGGTCAGTGAGTCCAGCTGTACCCCGCACAGCCCTATTTTGGACAGAGACATGCTATCCACGTGGCTTTGTGCTAGGGGAAATTTTGCTTTTGTTTTACTTTGAATGAATGTGCTACAATGTTTTTTCAGGAGCCGCACCAAACTCCTGCCTGTTTTCAGGATAGCCCCTGGGAGGATATATACACACCTTCTGATGCTTTGTGGGTCTGTGCGGCTGCAAGGGAATGGCTGGCTGTACATCACACCTTCACGTTCCAGAAAACACTCAGCAGCTCAGCTGTTGGCAGCCCAGCGATGAGCACAGTGGGGAACGGCCCCCTGGCGCCCCTCTCTGCCCTTCTCAGCCTCCTTGTGGTACCTGAGGTTGCTGGTAGGTTCTTCACCATCACGAGACCCACCGACCTATCAGTGAGTTCACGTGGGTCCTTGGTCACCATGTGATCAGTTTAGTGAGGCCCTCAGTGTGTCTCGTAAGTTTTTTAACATTGCACCCATTTTTTAATGTGCTCTGAACCATTCTATTTAAGTCCCCTTTCAAACTACCACCATTCCTTAAAGCCCCCGTGTAGTTGCTACAGTGGTTTTAAATTTCAGAGCAGTCCAAAACAAATTTAATGAGAATCCATTGATTTCATTCACTTCCTATTTGTTGATTTCCTATGTGATAGACACCAGGAATGTAGCAGCAGACTAGGCTGGTCTTCATCACTGAGGCAAAGAACGTCCAGGACATCCAGTGCTTTACTCTCCAAACACCCTGGAAGTTTCTCACGTGTTCTCTCCCGATCTCTTTGGCCCTGCTGTGAAGAGATCGCCAAGCTAAGTCAGCCAGAGTATTAGCAAAGGGGATTTCTGGTAAAAGCCGACATAGGGTCAAAGTGCAGCTAGCTCAGCAGCTTCCTTGGTTGAAAGCCATCGAGCTGCTTGACATCTGTAAGCAGTTTCCTCTCACGGTGACAGTAAGCCATTGTCTGGAGGAGTTCAGTAGGGACTGACAAGTAACAACAGGAGCCACAGTGTGTGTCTGACCCACAGTGAGACTAAAGCGGTCGGGGTGGGGCACTGCGCTCTATGATCACTACTATTGCTACTGTGCTGCGAGGGAAGGTGTCACCTCTGAGTGACCAAGTACTAGGAGGAAGGCCAGAGAGGGGACACTTGGTCCTAGGAAGTCTCCTGGGGGCTATCACATCATACCAATTTGAACTTCTCCTTCAATGTGACATTTTTAGTAGCAAAAGCCAAGGTTCTGTCTTTCTGAAAGAAAGATCCTGTCAGGTCTGTTGTTTTGTTTTTACTTGCATGTGATTTTCAGCTGATTCTTCTGTTTCTAGGAATCAGCCTTCTGTAAAATAATAATAATAATAATAGTGTTTTCTGGCAAGTCTGGCAGGAAGCAAAGGATGCTGGAGTCTCTGGACTACCAGGGAGGGGGACACCACAGGGGTTAGCAGTTCATGACTAAAAGAAATCATTACCATCTAAAAATGTGTCCCCCCCTCCTTCTCTCTTCCCTCCCTCCCTCCCTCCCTCCTTCCTTTCTTCCCTCCTTCCCTCCCTCCTTCCTTTCTTCCTTCCCTCCCTCTCTCCTTCCTTTCTTCCTTCCCTTCCTCCCTCCTTCCTTTCTTCCCTCCCTCCCTCCCTCCCTCCCTCCTTCCTTCCTTTCTTCCTTCCCTCCTCCCTCCCTCCCTCCCTCCTTCCTTTCTTCCCTCCCTCCCTCCCTCCCTCCCTCCCCCTCCCTCTCTTCGACTTTCATTAAGTCCTTCCTAGCCTTCTCTCAAATTACTGGCTCTCCTCCTTCCTAACTTCCTTCATCTCTACCCGTCCCTCCTTTTTCTCTTTTTGTCAGATGAGGCTAAAAAGCACATGACAATTCCAAGTCTCCTTTCTTCATCACCTTAGACAAGCAGAAAAGGATAAATCACATTGTGGAATCCCCCTGCAGCATTTCACAGCCAAGCTTACAGTGGTCAAAACTACAGAAGAATTCGAGGGCTAGAGAAATGGCTCTACTGTTAAGAAAACTGGCTGCTCTTCCAGAGGACCAGGATTTGGTTCCTAGCACCCACATGGCAGCTCACAATAGTCTAACTCCAGTTCTAAGGGATCAGACTCCATCTTCTGGCTTCCTTGGGGAATCACTCATGCACATGGTACACAGACATTCAGGGAAACAAAATATTCATACATGTAAAATAAATAAAAGTAATTTAAACTAGGGGCTGAAAAGATGGCTTACCAGCTAAGTACACTGGCTGCTCTTCCAGAGGATCAAGGTTTGATTCCGAGCACCCACATGGTGGCTCATAATGGTCTGTAACTCCATTTTCCCTGGGGAATTCAGTGTCTTTTCTGATCGCCAAGGGTACCAAGCATGGATGTAATACACAGACATGCATGCAGCCAAAACACCAATATGCGTAAAATAAATAATATTTTTTAATTTTTAAAATATATAGAAAAGGTATATGGTAATGTGGCCTTTTGTATAGAAAGAATTTTTGGTCTTTATTGTATGTAAAGAATTTTAAGTTTCACAGCTAACCCTCTAGAAATCTCTGCAAGATAAACTATGCAGATACTCTTGATACATTTTTAAATATTCCTTCAATCAGACATGGTGGCACATGTCTTTAATCCTAGCTCTTAAGAGTCAGAGGCAGGCAGATCTCTGAGTATGAGGTCAACCTTGTCTTCAGGGCTAGTTCTAGGACAGCCAGATCTACATAGAGAAACCCTGTCTCAAAATAAACAAACAACAAAAGTAAAAAAGAAATAAAAAATTCCTTCCAATGCAGAAATTTATTTATTTATTCTTAGTGTTGCGCCTAGGGTCTTGCTAGGCAAGTGTTCTACTCCCATCTCAGGACCCAAATTCACAACTTGAGTGCAATTTTTCTGTTTCTTTTTATTCTTGACATATTCAATACTTCTATTTCCCACTGTTTAAATCAAAAGGGAAATTTCACCTGGCATTATTTATTTTTACTCTTTAATTCATATGCCTCTAGAGAATATATCTTTTGTATGATTCTGTTTTTAAAAGCTTAAGGAAAACAGAAGACAAAAATACCATTGGCTAGGCCCTAAGAGGTTGTTCGGAGGGGTCCCGATTGAATTTTTTTTAAGCCATATTTCAGGTCTTTGATGTTGACAGCTCTGAAATATTACCTTACAATTACATCATAACCATGAAATGACTTGTGTTGGCTAGTGACATGACTTTTTAAAGAGTTTCCACTAAATACACAAATAATGAAATGAAAGGATGTCAGAGTATCCCAAATGATTAGTGATGGTATTAAAATGAGTGCTATTGCTATATATTGTGGCTCTAAGAAATTTGTAATATTTACGACCAGACCTTCAACTAACCAGTCTGCTTTCTCTTTTGATTTTCCTCTTTAAAATAGCTAGTAATTTCTTCTTCTACTGTGTCACATGATTTGCTATTGCCTCAAGACATCAGAGCCATTGTTCTATTTTTCTACCCTTCATAGGGAAAAATGCTTACCTTCGTATCAGAGTCAATACCTCAATAATATCATATCAAACATTTGCTAATTTGAAAAAGTAGCATAGTGCAGCAACAAATTACACAGTAGTTCACATTAGCTGTGTGATGTGGCCATTCACCAAAAAGAAAGGGAAAGAAAAGAATAAGGCTTTCAAGAATGGACATTCCCGAGTTGGAGGTACGGCTCAGTGCTAGAACCCTTCCCAACATAATGCTTTAATGGGTTAATATATGATGGTTCATCATGGTTTATCCCCAGAAAAGGAGTCAGAAACAAAAGACAGTAAAGACTATTGCAGTCATCCAGCCATCCACCCAATAAATGAAGCCTCGGAGTCAGCAGACGTGGGATACAAACCCTACATAGGCTTGGCTGGTTTCCCTGCCCTTGTGCTTCTAAGACATGAGGTGACCTTGAAGCTGAAGGGTAAAAAAGAAGTGTTTATAGTACACTCAAGCCTCTAAACATTAGGATCTAACTCACTTATCTGGTTCCCAGCTAAAATAATGCAAAACAAAATAGCAACCTGATCCTTTATTAGAGGAACACTTAGCTGTGTTGAATTTAGTGAAGGATGTCTCTGGATAGTACTTTATAAGACACTGAAGGAATTTTTTTTTTTTTTGGTTTTTACAAGACAGGGTTTCTCTGTATTATTTTGGAGGCTGTCGGTCAAGCCCGGCCTCGAACTCACAGAGATCCGCCTGTCTCTGCCTCCCGAGTGCTGGGAATTTTTCAAGAGTAATCTAGACTCCATGGTTTATTTGCCCTACCATGAATGAAAGATGCTCAAAATAATGTGTTCAGCTAGGTACATCTGCTGGATACATGGCTATGTGCTGAAACTACAAGGAAAATTCTAGACCACTTAGTGTTTTAGAGAAATCAAAACAAGATTATATAGAGAGCTATGTTATGTACATACACATCAAACTATAGGATTAGCCACACCTCTGTAGCATGGGCCAATCTCAAGATGTCCTTGATATGATAGTGGCTTTAGCTTCAGAGAAAGTTTTGTTGATCAGTTAGTGGCCTGGATTTAAATGAGAAAATGTAGAACCAATTTATTTTTAGAACTAGAGAGCTTATTGTTGGAGGTGGTGGAGACAGTAATTATATTTTGTTTGGTTTTGTTTTGTTTTTGAGACAGGATTTCTCTGTGTAGCCCTGGCTGTCCTGGAACTCACTTTGTAAGACCTCGATCTTACAGAGATCCAAGTGCTGGGAGTAAAGGAGTGTTCCAGTGCACCAGGCTAATAGCAGTTTTAAGAACAATCTAGTGGTTAGAAAAACAGACCTGTAAATACAGAATTTGTTTGCTGAGTGCCCAGCTACGCTAACCATTAGAAGGCTCTGTCCAAAGAATGTGCAGTATGTACCAGCTGCATCATCATGAGCCATTAACAGCAAACATTAGTTAGTACACTCGTGCTGAGTTCAGGGAATGGCCTCCCTACCACCAAATAGTGTGAGGTGTGCTGAATCTGAAGTACATCATGACAAGCATTTCTCCCTGAACTTTTTAAACAGAGGATAGGTTCAAAGCAAGTCCACCTGTTTCTAATTCAGTTCATTTACTCCTTAAGTGTTACCTTGCTGGAACAGAGCTATGCTAAAAAGAAAACCTCTGTGAGCTCTCCTTTAAGTTTTGCAACTGTAGACAGGTGGTACATCAAGCAGAGTCTCTCCTCTCCATCCTTCAACTCCTGTTTGGTTCAAGTTCAGGATAAGTTTTATATATTCAATGGGGCAGTCCAAGATGTTGGAAAATATGCCACCCCTGATCAGGGAGAGAGAACCAGACAGCAAACATTACGTTTCTCACAAGTCAGCCCTAAGTTCTCTCTCATTCTTTACAAGATCAAATGAACATTGTGAAAGTTACAGGCAAACCCACTGACAATCAAGAGAAACAAGGGTGACAAGATGGGAATGTGACTTGAAACATGGCCACTCTACTTGGGGATAGAGTAGCTGTAGGGAGTACATCGACTCGTGGTAGCCTTATTTTAGAATGAGGCAAGAAATGCAAACAACATCCTCATGAGAGCTGATTTGCTGGAGGGTTTCAGAATCCTCCTTGCTGCCTTGGTATCACCGGGGACCCCAAGACCATCCCTGAAGCTCAGCCTCATTAGTTTATTCATCTGCAGCCCTGCAAGCAGGACTCTGGACAAAGTTACAAGGGATGCTTGGCAGTGCCGACTCTGGTGAAACAAAAGGACTAAAGGGTCATAGTCACTGGAAAACTTTGATGTTTGGGGATGTCCCCCCTCCTTTTCTCACCAGATAAGAGACAGTTGTTTTCTGGTTTACTAGAGATACATTGGAAATAGAGTCTTGCAAGGTACTTATTTGATCAACAAAAACGCTACACAAAGAATAATCCCATGTTGCTCTGCTTTCAGCTGAAAATTTTCTTTTCTCCTAGCTTCTCTGTAACCTGACAGAAAGCCCCCATTATACAGGATGTTGATTTCCAGAGTGGACAGCTTCAGCTTTGGGGAAAGAACTTTCATGAGCTCTTCGGCTCATCTGTCTCTCCACCCTTGCTCCTGTGGAGAGCCTTCACCCTGGAGAATCCTCTAGCCAGTGTCTCAAGGCTCCCCACAAAGTGCTCTTCGGGAGAGCTGTTGAGTCCCAGGGTCTGGCTGCTCATTCCAGCCCCAGCCTGGGTGTGTCCTGCCTGGACTTCTTTTTGCTTGTAGGGTAAAGCTGCATGGTGGAATGGAAACTCTAAAAATTCTTTGGATGCTCCTGGTAGTGAAATAACTCTCCAAATGAGTTTCACATGAAAGAACGTTTGGAACCACTTTAAGGAAGAAAGGGGAGAAAAGATAGGAACGATCAAAAGAATGGTAATCTTGTAGCATCTCCACTGAAACCCAGAGAGAGCCAAATGGCAGACTTCTGGAGGATGAGTGAGCTGGAAGTGCGACTGGATGACCCCACCAGGGACCTGGATGGTTTCACACTCCTGCCACCCGCCCTTCTGTCTGAGCATGTCTAGTAACATCCTTCAGTGTTGCTCTCAATTTATGCCACTTTGTGACTACACAGAGAAAAATGAGACCCAGCTGAAATAAGAGACTGGCTTCTGGAAACCTCTCTGATTATGAGAGAAGTGTGACTAAGAGGTAGCCCACCAGAAAACTCTTTCACTTAATTCCAGGCCGAGGCAGGCAGATCTCTGAGTTCGAGGCTGGCCTGATCTACAGAGTGAGTTCTGGGACAGCCAGGACTACATAGAAAAAATCTGTCTGAAAAAAAAAATCTTTACTGCCTGCTGGAATTGCCAAGGAAATTGGCATGAAGGAAATCACCCCATCTGGGCTGTATTAATGAATACCTCAGATTCACTATCATACAAAGCTGAGCAAACACCACGACATGTGAGATCTGGAGGAAGGACAAAATTGGTGTGTGGTCAGCGTAACACCAGAACAACAGCCACAGGATGTGGTAAAGAACCGCTTAAGGACCTGGGGATATGGCACACAGGGCTGCCCCATGTTAAGATACAAGGAGGAGAAAAAAATTATTAAAACAAAGCAACCATATTCTTACCAAAAAGGTAAGTAAAGTAGCAATGGGCCTGCCCAAAAGGATCTCAAAGGAGCCGGGCTCTGTAGAGACTTTGGTTCCCCTGGCCTCCTCTCCTTTGTCCCTTAAAGTGTAGACAGATGTGGATTCATTAGGTCGAAGTGAACTGAGGTGAACTTAATTCTGAGGCTTTCTCCACATACCTTCAGACAATTGGAGACACTCAAGGTTGCAAAAAAACCTGTGTTTGCACAAATCTTGGCATATAGATGAGCAGATCCAACACCTCTGGAAAGAAAGTAATAATGAATGAGAACACCTGGCCCTTTCTAGGTAAGTTTAAGAAAAACAGTGACGTTCTCCTTTTTAAAAAATAAGCCATCTCGCAGTCTCTAAAGTCCTACACACACACACACACACACACACACACACACACACACACACACACACACACAAACACACACACGCACGCGCGCGAGCACGCGCGCACGAACATGCAAACACACGCATGTGCACAAACACCCACACCCTTGTACACACATACGTGCATGCATGCTCACCGAGGCACCCTGGGGCCTGCTCTGACCCTGAAGAGCTGAGCCTGCCTGAGCCTTAGGGCCCCCACCGCATGGGAGACGGCTGAGTCAAGGCCTGGGCACCAGCCCTCCAAGTCAAGCGAGCTGGTGAGTTTTCCTCAACAAAGAGCGCACACATGCAGGAGTACTTGATTGAAGACAAATTTCTATAAACATTCCCTTCTGAGCAAACGTCAAGGCTCAGGCTAGCATTTTTTTTCACCATAGACGGGTGGGGGAGAGATGAATGCAGACAATTACACTCACTAGTTTGCTTTGTGAGGTCATAATGTTTCATTATGTGCCAGAAGTAATAACATACACATTGAGATGGATAAATTGTCCAATGTGAGCACCGGGGAGCCTTCAACTCGATCTCATGTTAGAAAAAGGCTCCAGATTCCTCTGCTCTTTTCTGTTTCCCTGGGCCAGGCTTTGCTGACAACGGCTGGGGGTGGCTGCCATTTCCCCCAACTCATCTTCACCTAAAGTGGAGATAGCCTGGGCTTCATCGCTTGAAGCTGCAGCTGGCTCTTCTGTGAGTTTCTTCTGTGTCCAACACCAAGGGAAACAAAGGGAACAGGCCTCAGCTCCTACCCTTGAGAAGCTCACTGTGGGAAGCCAGGCTCCCCCACAAGGTCGCTGCTCCTGAACTGGGGCCACGGTTGCTTGGCAGAGGATTCAGAATAGTTACTCAAGTCAGGAAGTCAAGTCCTGCTTTTAGCTCTGCACCCTGACACGTGAGAGAAGTCACTTGTCCCGGATCCTCTGCCCACAGAGTAATACATATAATTAGAGAATTACTTAACATCTTTCCTATAATGAGCATATACCCAGATATAGTTTAATGACTCAAATGTAAAAGGAACACATTCTACCCCTAGGTCTTCGTAAGTAAAACCCGAATGTCGTTTCCCACAGGTCAGTATTTTTTCTTTGGTGTCATCCAAATCCCGTTCACAAGTTGGGAATTTGTTGAGAGAATGAGCAAATGACTCACAGACCAGAGTTGGTTCCTCATGCTTCATTGTCTGGTGTTTAAACGACTGTGCTGTTCCCCGTCCTGAGTGTCCGCCATTTTTCCCACTTGGCATATATTTCCTTCCGGATCTGGCTTTGAGGAATAATTGCTCCATGTTGGGTACAATTGTGGTGGTTCTTTTAAACAAAGCTAAGAAACATAACATCGGGCATGCAATCATAAGTCTTGAGACTAGTCAGACGTCTGTCCCAAGGCAATTACCTACCAATGGGACCTGCACTGCCTCTTGTCCTGTTAACCTGTATTTCCTGTTTGCCCTTCATCTCTGTGGCTTTTCTGCCTATCTCTATAATAAGCATCTTTTTCCTTGACTGAATGCCTGTCGCCTACAACTGAAGTGTTCTAACTACTAATGTACACTTTCAGAATAGACGGGTTATTACACTGGAATACCAAAATAAAAGTTGGAAAATTTAAAACTAAAAGAAGTTTTCAGGCTGGGAGCAATGGGGTAGGCTTGTAATTCTAACACACGAGAAGCTGTGTGGGAGGGATCACAAGTCTGAGACCACCCTGGCCTCTATAGAGACCTTGCCTCGAAAGAAAAAACAAAAAGTGGAGCAGCATGACAGCTCAGCCGGTAAAGGCACTTGCTGCCAAGACCAACAGCCTGAGTTTGGTCCCTGGAGCCTACATAGTGGAAGCAGAAAACCAACTCCCCAAGTTGCCCTCTGACCTCCATACATGCTGTGGTGCAAACACACATTGTATTCACAATAAATAAATAAATGTGAGTATTTTTGTTGCTGTTAAAAAATAAAATAAGTAGAGATGAAAAATCTAGTTCAACATATTAAAATTTTTCTAGACAATTAGACCCAAAGGCATGAAGTATCATGCTCAAAATCCTAACACTGGCTGGTTTCCGTGCCTGGACCCCATGTGAGCTGGCTCCCTAAATAGGAGCCCTTCTGCTTTTCTACTGTTTTGGGAGTTCAGCATTGTCTCCCAAGGTTGCCACCTATGGCTGTGTTTTGCTACAATGAAAGAATTGAAGAGCTGCCACAAGAGACTTAAATATGGTCTTCTAAGCCTGCAATATTGACTGACCTTTTACAGAGAAAGCTTGCCATGTTCCATCAGTGAGTGAGTGTAAGCATGCCCCAATGAAACTTTATCCATGGGCAACAAAATTCACATAGGTTTCAAGTTTCTCAAAATATATTCTTTTTATTTATTCCAAATATTTAAAGATGCAAACAACATTCTTAGTTCATTGATGGGGGATATCCTTCTGTATATATGTTTCTCTTATTGGTTGATGAATAAAACACTGATTGGCCAATAGCTAGGCAGGAAGTGAAAGGTTCAGGCATTACTCTGGCCTGCCCTGTTACCTGGCAGGATGCACTCAGGCAACACTCTGGCCAGCCCAGAGTTCCGTGAGAACCAGGCAGGTGCAAAGGACCCCTTTAAGGGACTGACCCCTGCCCGTTTACCCTCTCTTACTCCTCTTCCTCTCTTACTCTCTCTTACTCTTTTGCTCTTGCTCTTACTCTCTCTCTCTCTCTTATCTCTCTTTCTCTGCTCCCCTTTTCCCTCCCCGTCCACCAATAAACTCAACATGGGATCGTTGAGTCGCGGTCTGTGTCTCCTTACTGGATAAACCTAAACGTTTTAACAACAGGAAGCATAGACAGGGCTACCAGACCAGGAGAAGGCTGGGGAGAGGAAGACAGAGAAGGCTGGGAAGAAACACCGTACTGCTGAAAAAGTAACATGATGGATGACGAGTAAGTCACAGCCTCGTGACAATACATAGATTATTAGAAATGGGTTAATAATTAAGACTGTGCTAGCCAATAAGAAGCCCTAGCTATCAGCCAATAGTTTATAAATTAATATAAGTCTTTGTGTGTTTATTTGGGGGCAAAGCAACTGTGGGACCAGGCAGGACAGAAACCTCCATCTACAGCTCATAGACTGTACAAAAATAGGTATGGGGGCTGGAGAGATGGCTCCGTGGTTAAGAACATTTGTTCCTCTTGCAGAGAACCTGGACACACATAGGGACTCACAACCATCCCGAACTCTAGTTCCAAGGACATCAGCACCCTTTGCTGGCCTTCAGAGACACTAGGCATGCACGAGGTACATATATATACATTGAAGTCAAATGTTCACATACATAAATATAGATAGATGGATAGATAGATAGATAGATAGATTGATTGATTTTTTTAAATAGCAGGCTGGATTTGATCTAAGGGCTATAGTCCACCCATGCCAGTTAAGCCTGTAGGAGGAAGTCTGATGCCGCCATTAAACATGTGACTTACTAAGTCTATGCCGTCATTAAACATGTGACTTACTAGAGGCGCATACAGATGAGGTAATAAAAGGGCGGTTTACCACACCGCTAACCACACCCACTTTAGGCAGGACTAAAGACGTATACGGCTGGACATAAAGACGTATACGTACGTAGGCGGAACTACGTCACTAGCCAAGCCCACTTTTGGGCATGGCTAGGGGCGTTACGGGGGAAGGCATAAAAGACAGCGCACAGGAAGTCTCGCTCTCTTTTCCTGGAGTTCGGCTTCCGGTCCAGTCGCTAGCTGAGATCTGCTGGGCTTCTCGGGGTTTGGTATCTTGTGAGTAATCTTCTACATTAAATACTTAGCTTCACTTTCAGTAACTGTGTGTCGCGTATCGTTACAGCATCCGTTGAAGCCAACAAAGCCAATTAAGAGTTGGATAGTTTGATATTTGCAATGATACAATAAAGTTACCTGACAAATTCACTAAAGTTCTACAGCTTTTTTTTCTTTTCTTTTTTTTTAAATTATATGCAAGGCAAGCAGCAAGAAATAAGATGTGATCCTTCTTCTCTGTGGCTTCACAGTCTGATTAGGGATAATAATCTTCAATTATTTATTTAATTTTGTACAGCAGGGGATTGAACTCATGGTCTCGCATATACTCGGAAAGTGCTCCCCACTGAGCTCACTTTAACTTTGGGGAATAGCCAGCATTTATGGATCACTTGCTATGATGTGCAATCACCCTGCCCTTCAGATAAACTGTAATCTAATCTTCATTAACATGCAATGGTTCATTCTCATGGTATACTAGTGAGGGGAGTGAAGCCCAGAGAGAGCAAGCACTTGGGCCTAGCTCACAGAGCTAGACTTTATACTAAGACCCCGAGATGAAGCCTGGGGACCCAAGAATTGTGTTAAGTAGACCTTCCCTGGTGTGGCTCCTGGTCACACTGTGATGTCAGATATCCACCACAGCCACCAACTGTCCCCTGAACTCATACCTGATGCCTGGGTTCCTCATCTTGAGCTGCCAGAGGCCTTTTATCATCAGTTAACTTCTTTTTGCTTCTGGTAGAGGAAACACAAATATTCTTCTGTCTCCTTGGTACTCCCCAGGGACAAACGCAATAAACTCAAAGCTGGGAAAATAAACTAGCAAACACAGGAGAAAAGAGAGAGCAGACAGCTAAAGACACAGTTCAGAATCAAAGCTCCATTACCTCCTATAAATAATGAGAAAGCAACAGTTAACAAAAACAGGCACAGAAAGGAGAAGCCAGATGTGGTAAGGCACACCTGTAACCCGAGCATCTACAGCAGCCACACCTGTAATCTGAGCAGTTAGAGTAGAGGCAAAGATCAGAAACTCAAAGTCATCCTTGACTTTGCAGCAAATTCCAAGTCACCCTCAGATTCATGAGTCCTTGTCTAAGGAACAGGAGGAATTTTCACACACTGAAAAAGGGGAGAGGGAACAAGAGCAAGTAATGGGAGGAGAGCAAATATAACGTTTCCTTTCATATATGGATAATAAATCACACTGAGGCACACACACACACACACTCACGCACATGCGTGCGCGCGCACCCGCGCCCTTGATGTGAGAGCAGAAGCTGACCTGTGTTAGCATACGCTGGGGGCAGGCAGGGGGCTATTGGAAGAGAAGAAGGGAAACAAGAGGAGACAATGGGGGAGCATACACAAGCAAAGTACAATGATTGTATGTATGAAAACAATATCAAAGCCTATCGTTTTGTATGCCCATATGTTATTTTTTAATTAATAAACAAAACAGGGTGGAGAATGGTGCAGTTAACAAGTAGTCATTTTTCACAGAGAGGCAACAGGCAGACATTCTCAGTTATGAGAGAAAACAGGGAATGGGGCC